ACACACAAGTTTACTTAGGTATTTGCATACAAACTTTAGTAAAATAACCGCTCTACGGATGTGCCACAAATGGGTGCAGCTGGCTGGCTGTTAGTCGTAGCTACTGGCAAGAAGTCGCTTACCAATTTCAATAAGCCTTTTTAGGTGCACATAAAATCTCAGCAAAAATGCAGAATTTCTCGCCATAAACGAAAATTAAAAAGCAAATTTTTTATTTTGTTTTGCGGCGGTAGCATTTTAAATAGCAGACGTTTCATATTCGGGCATCGCAACCCAACAAAAAATAAATACATAAAAAATTTACAAAAAAGGAAACAAAAATCAAAGGTACTCCTTTTTAAAATTTTTAGCGCTGCTCTTTAAAAATTTGCGTTGTTGTTTTTTTTTAGTTGAATTTTCGGTGTCGCTTGGCTTATATCACGTTTCCACGATTTCATTGTTGAACAAGCGCCATCCGAAGCGATTGCTCCACAAAACAATCGAATGGGAACACACGAAGATGTGCATGCGCCCAGCCACAAAAAACAAAAATAAGTAAATAATATACATACATACACGTATTGCAACTAAAACTAAAACCAAATCAAGTTAGAGATGGCATTTTCTGTTGATATGTATGCACATACTTTTACGTATAGCTGTATATGTGTTGCATTTCAGAAGGCCGTGTTCCGAATTTTGGATCCGCTGTAGCTGCAACACTGTGACAGTGGGGCATGCTTAAAAGTTTATATATACAAAAACAGGAATACATACCACTGCATAGTACACGCGCACATTGTACAGACATACATATGTAGCACTCGATTGAATTTAAATGTTGTGTGCCCATTTTTTGGCAGTTAAAGGTTATAACCTCTTTGCTTTTATTTTTAAGTTACTGGAGCATCACTTCACTTTTCATTTTCTTTTAGCTTAGGTAGAGTTTTGCTTTTGAGAATTACTGCTCAAATATTTTTCAGCCAATTTGAGAAGGAATTGCTAGCAGAAGTGTACTAAGGAATAAATATTCTGAATTAATTGTATTTTGCTTAGGAGGTGTTTAGTATGCAAGTATTAAAAGTTATCACGAAAATTTATAATCTATTTTAATGGATGTTTTTATCTTATTTCTGTGGGAATTAAATAAAACTACCTCTTTCAGAATTACAATTTTTTTTTAGAAGAGCAAAAAACATATTAAATGCTCTCCACTCTCTTACTATGAATGAAAAATGTTAAAACTGAACACATATAAATAAACAAGCATTTTTCAATATATTTTTTTCAACAAACTTTTTTAAATAAATAGAAAATCTATGCTATAATAAAACTATAAATTATTTGTCTGTTTGAACTCACTAATCACCGGAACTACGTAACATATCTTGTTTTGTCACATAACCATCTTCTTTGGCTTAAGGTTAGATATAGTTTTTGTCTTTTTCTATCTACATCCCTACCTCTAACCTGTTCGTTCTAATTGCATTTATGTTATTCTGTTTTCCTTTATCTTTATACTTTATCGATAACAAAATCGATAGCAACATCCATCAAAATATCGATAACAAAACCGATAAAAATATCGATAGATAATTCGATAAAAATATCGATAACACTATCGATCGAAAATCGATAAAAATATTGATAACAAAATCGACAAAAATATTGATAACGAAATCGATAAAAATATCGAAGACAGAAACGATAAAAATTTCGATCGGTAAAAAACCGATAAAAAATATTGATAACAAAATCGATAATAAAATCTATAAAAACATCGATAACAAAATCGATCAAATATCGATTACAAAATCGATAACAAAATTGGTAGAAATATCGATAGAAAATCCATAAAAAAATTGATAGAAAATCTAAAACAAAATCGATAGAAAATCGATAAACAATCGATAAAAATATCGAAAACTATTTCGACACCAATAGCGATAGAAAATCGATAACAAAATCGAAACAAAATTTCGATAACAGAATCTATAAAAATATCGATAACAAAATCGATTAAAATATCGATAACGAAATCAATAAAGTATCGATTACAAAATTTATAGACATAACGATTACAAAATCAATAGAAATATCGATAACAATTTCAACACCAATAGCAATAACAAGTTTGATAAAAATATTGATAAAACTATCGATTATTATATCGTTACCGATAAGGCTCGACCTTTTTGTTTGTTGTATTAGAGTTTAACGGGACAAGCTTTGTCCAAAAGGATCTGCTAGCTAGATGGCGCTGATTTCGGGTGATTACTAAAAATCTTATTTAGCGCTTGATTCGGCTGATATTGGAAATGCATATTGAGAGTGCGCAAAGAAATACTTTAACAAAAAATTTACCCGGAATATGAAGGTGGAGTCGAGCTAATAAAATTAAAATATTTATGATGCTATTTAGCTATTATTCGAAAAATATATTCGTAACGTAACGCTGGAGCCTATTACTGACGGTAAAGAACACAACCTAAAATTAATCTAATCGATCGAGCTATTTTCAGATGATGAGGTTACGTAAAAGCAGGATTTAATAAAACAATTAATATGAAAGAAGATGAATTTATAGAAATTTTAAAGGGAGTGGATACATTTGCAATTGCAAGTGAATTTATAGTACTCAGAGTTATAAGAAAGTGAAAGGTGAAGGAAATTAAGTGTGCTTCAAAGAAAAACGACCTAAATACGCCTGTTCATGGGCCTCGGACCATTTGGCTATCATAGTTACGCCAGCGCTGGCAATCATGAAATTTTCGATTAGGAATTCAAAGTTTTGGTATCAACATGACGATATTGGTACGGAAAAGCTCTTACAGATGACACCAAACTGGACTGGAGAGTTCGAGGATGCGTTCCTTAATACGTTTCATGTCAACGATTGATCATCAACACGGATTCTTACACGGATACATAGCAACATTTGTACCTTTGCTGAAGGTCAGCAGGCAGCCCTTAAATATTAACATTTGCACATAAACAATGAAAAGTCCCGTTCTGAATGTTGTAGGCCTCTGAACGAGCTGATACAGCATTGTAGAGTTCATTCTAGATACTATAGTCATTGCAGAGCTAACAATTGGCAAGAAAAGGTACGAACACCCACATCCTTCTAAAGGAGAACACGATAGGCATACCAACAGTAGGCAGTATGTAAAAGATCATGTTACTCAATTAGCTAATGAACGCTCCTAGTTTTATATAGAAAAGCCTTAAAAAGAATTTTATGGGCGATTGCCTAATGGGCATTGTTGTAGCCGCAAGATCCTAGAGAATGACAACAATAAGGGGATAAGTTAACAAAATTAACGCTTATGATATCTTGGGAATTGGTTAAATGTGGAACACCTTTTATCGCACGATCCGTAACTAATCAAAAGAAAATTGCGCTTGCTTGGCAAACCGTTTGAGCAAAGCCTTGCAGAGGAGGTCTCACTTGCGGAAATACTGTGGCAATGTTCTAAATTTATCGACATAGGCATGTATATAGATACACATAAACATATAAGTACATACCAAAGTGCGCAGAAAGAAAAAGTAAATCGATTAAGGCGTGTATATTGGGCCGCCCGTCCATCTGTGTCCCCGAACAAAATAACCTTTTAGAAAAAAATAATTTTAATATACAATATAAGAAAAGGCATTTTCGTACATTTCTCCAAAATCTAATAAACGGTGCATTCAGCAATAGACCAGAATATATTGGAACGAAAATGCAAGAACCAGATCAGAGAGACTTTTTATGTATTTATATGTACATAAAACCAGTATTCGATTTTGTACACAATTAATGTATATACATATACATACGAATATATAAATCAGACAAAAAAAGAGGAAAACCGAACAAGTAGATGAATACGTAATTAATTATTCGGCTGGTTGTGTTAAAGTGTCAAAAAAAACGATGTATTACATTTTCTGGAACACTGAAGAAGTAGGTCACGCTACCTGACAAATCACAAACACAAAGTTGATTTACATGGAAGTAATGAAAGGTGTATGTACTCGGGGTTAAAAGCATAGATACAAACCACCAAAAAAAAAACAACAGAAACCGTACATCCTTATGTATGTGTGTAAATATTTACGTGCATATTTGCATACATCAAAATATTAGGGGTGGGTAATGGCGCAATTTTTCATGCGTTGATACATTGGCGCAAACGCATTGTAATGCGTTAACGCATTGAGTTAACGCAATTGCGCCACGACATAATGTATCGAGTATCGATATTGCATTGCCGAATTGTGCGTCGCTAATTTTTGTGGGTATATTGGCGCATTTTCAGTTGTGTTTTCCGCGAACGTTTTTCAATAAGATTTTCATTCAATACGTTGATTCTGTGTAACCGTGCTCTTTTGGAAGTAAGTAACTTAATTCTTTAACTAATTTTGAAGTAAAATTCTAATTCTGCGCTTTCCACAGGAGCTGTTTCATCCGAACGTTATCTTTTGCCTGGCGCCTTACAAACACATACATACATACTCATAAGACTCATTTATGACTCCAAATGTTTGCTGGGAGTGCACAAATGTAGGTGCTAATTAAAAAATAATATTGGTGTTCCTACGTATCAATTGAAGTAAAGGTATTGTACATACGTACATATATTGTTAACGTGTTTAAAAAAGCTCGTGATATGTCTAAAAAGAAAAGCAATGTATGGCTTCATTTCTCTGAAGAAAAAGAGAAGAAAGTGAAATGCCTTTTTTGCGGCCAAGTGTTATCGGTTTCCAACGGGTCGACATGTGGACTTATTCGCCATTTAAACAAAAGACATCCGACGCAAATAATTACAAGGCAGGGGTTACAAGAATGTGAGACATCAGTGAGCAACGTATCTGATGAAAACAACAATTCTGCGTCACAACCTGGAGTGCGAGAATTGGTACATGATGCGAGGCCTTCAAATACCTCCTCACGAGCTGGGACAATTAGTCGGTACTTCGAAAGGCCACTTCCGATGACAAAACAGCGCAATATCGACAACCAGTTGGTAAAAATGGTGGTGAAAGAATATCAGCCTTTTAGTATTGTGGAGGATCCGGAGTTTAAAAGATTTATTAATATGTTAAATCCGAACTACAAGCTTCCTACAAGGAAAACACTGTCCACATCACTCATTCCAGCGGCCTACAAGGAAACATTGGAAGCCGTCAAAAATCGTCTAAGTAAGGCCTTTGCAATATGTCTAACAGTTGATGGATGGACCTCCCGAGCACACGATAGCTTCTTTAGCGTTACTGCGCACTATATATCGGAAAGCAGCGAGCGAACTTTTTTGGCATCAGATCTGATTACCTGTGTTTCATATGCTGACCGTCATACCGGAGAAAACATCAAAAATAAGCTGCGTGAGATATGTGACGAGTGGGGAATAGCAAATAAAATTGCGGTTATAGTGACCGATAACGCCGCAAATATGAAGGCTGCAGTACGTGATGGTGGTTGGCGGCATTGGGGCTGTTTCGCACACACTTTAAATTTGATTGCACAGGCAGGTTTAACAGAAATTCAGGCGGTATTAGATAAGGTTAAATCTATAGTTCGTTTTTTTAAAAAAAGCTCCTATGCATACGCCAAGCTCAAAAGTACATCAGAAAGCATGCAGATTCCCATGTTAAAGTTAATAAATGATGATGTTACGCGATGGAATTCAACGTACGAAATGTTGGAGCGATTTTTAAAACTCAAAGATGCTGTGATAGCAACCTTAGCTTTAGTGAAGTCGTCTATGCAGGTCAGAGACGAATTTGTGAAGGGTATTGCTCCTTTAAATAACGAAGAGTGGCTGATTGTAGCGGAAGTTGTGAAGGTAATGGAAATTTTTCAATGCATCACTACATTAGTAAGTCAGGAGAAACATGTTAGCGCTTCTTCTATAATGCTTTATGTCAAACAGCTAAAAAAACACTTGCAATCTTTTGCCATTAAAGAACTGTCTTGCTCAGTACAAAAGATGGTCCAGAAGCTAGTTCATTAACTAAATGATAGATTTAAGGATATTGAAACAAATGAGCTAATAGCACAGGCAACAATTTTAGATCCTCGTTTAAAAAAATTTGGCTTCATAAATGAACTCTCTTACAAAAGTGCTGTAGACAAATTGTATTCAAAAGTAGCAAACATTTCCATTGCAAACCAGGAGATTGAAATTGCTGAGGCAAATGAAAGTCAGCAGGTTCAATGTAGCAATGTTGAAGAAAAATTTGATTTAATTTGGAAGGATTTTGACAATCAAATTCAACAATTTACACGGCCACAAAGCCAATTGGCAAGTGCCATAATAGAATTAGATAAATATTTGGCTGAACCGATTCTGCCAAGAAAAGACAGCCAAGGCAAACCACAAGATCCTCTCAGTTGGTGGAATCAACGTAAACATATCTATCCTAAATTATACCAGTTAGTTAAAAGGAGGTTATGCATTTCGGCGACATCCGTTCCATGCGAACGCATTTTTTCCCATGCCGGACAAATAGTGACAGAAAAGCGAGAAAATTTAGAGGCTTCAAAAATATCCCAAGTCGTATTTTTGAACTACAATTTAAAATGAACTGATGTTTAATCTTTTCTGTAAGATGTACTTAATTTTCCTGCTAGACTTAATTCATTTTTCGTATATTATATTATTTACTTAAAACACCGAAATTGTCTTGTCATTGCACACGTTTTCGTAAATGAATTTTTATAATTATATTTAATTAGGGAATGCGCCCGTTAAAAGCAGTACACATGTAACAAATATATTTAATATATCGAAACTGCCTTTGATAGACTATATATTTATATATCGCTTATGAAATGTAGATGTACATATGCGGATGTATATTTAGTGATATATATTTTTTTCTTTAGATATACCTATATATGCAATACCTAAAAACAAGAAACTCAAAGACTTAATTTATGTAATGTACCTTAAAATATGTAAACATAAAGCTGACTTTTTTAATATAATAAATGTAATGAATAAATACAAAATACCTTGATGAATATGAAATGATTTAGATTGTTTCATTTATGGATGAACAAAATATATTTACATTTATATCAAATATGAGGCCTTCTTACATTCATACAAATAAATTCACATTATTTTCTAATAAATATGTAGAAACCTTTGTCTTATAGCAGGAGCACAAAAAAAAATTACACTAACAAATTATGCGCATAATGAAAGTAAGAAGTAAAAGAAATGTACAACAAACACATCATTTTGGCACTCAGTACCACCGAAGCGAATGAAAAAAGAAAAATCAGCTCTTCTGTGATTTCATAGCGCTGCGTTGCTGTGTTGCGATTAATATGATTACGTTTTGAGTTACTGCGTTATTGAGTTAAAATACGGTGCGTTAACGCAGGTAGCGCAACACTGGGTGTCAGCGCAATAACGCAACGCAACGCTGCGTTACCCATGCCTACAAAATATACAGCTGCATATATTTAAACATTAGGGTGGTCCAAGAATATAGAGAAAATCAACTTATTGGAATTTTCCTGCTATTTTTCAATTACATAGGTACGTATTTCCTTTCAGAAATCTTCAAAAAAATTTAATTAGGATGCATATTTAACTTTAAAAATTTACAAACTTTTGTTTCATAACTGATGATCTTTTCTCTTACATGAAAAATTAGCTATTTTAGGCAGTTTCAACACATTTGTTTTTTTTTTTTTTCAAATATATGCATATATGACTCCTAAATTTCCTTTTGGATTATTTCTAAAGGGAAACATTTTTATACTATCAAAAAATATTTGTCTTAAGGATTGTCGAAGAAGAAATGCATTTTTTTCTTATATGTATGTAAAATTCACAGGGAGAAACTTCCANAAAAATATTTGTCTTAAGGATTGTCGAAGAAGAAATGCATTTTTTTCTTATATGTATGTAAAATTCACGGGGAGAAACTTCCAGCCAATTCAAAGTAAGAAAAAAAATCTAGAAAATCCTTATTTGCGATATACTCAAGTGCTGGAGTGGCTAAAATAAGTGTGGACCACCCTAATGTGTATACATACGTACGAGCACTACATTATGGGCCAAATTCACAGTGCGTAGTTTACTCAGAATCGGCAGTTAACTACAGATTTTCAGTACAAAAACTACGCACTGTGAATTTGGCCCTATATGTACATATGTACATTAAAGTCTTTACAAACCACCTAAGAAGGGGGAACATTCTTAAAGAAGTCCATTAAAAATGCCAACAACGCATATAATAGCCCTCGATGAGTCAGTAAAATTTCTTCGATCAATGAATATCGGCTTAAATTTTTAATTGTTCAAAGTTAATTTTCTAAAGAATTTCAATGCTGATGTAAACAGAAATATTCCACCAACGATGGCAATGATGCGCCCCTTACTCATTGTATTTAAAAGTTAATTACAATATCATGCAATGATTGGAACAAGTTTACTGATATTCAATATTACTAACGGTACTGCCCCTGTTATAACAGTGCATATGCAATCGTAAATAAATGCAGAGCTAAGATAACCGAGCAGACGGTGCAATGAATTTCTTTGTGTCGCGGTTTTCACACCTGCCTTGGCATAATAAGTAATTACTGGAATCGTTTGGCTGTACATATGCTTATTCAGCAACNACAGTGCATATGCAATCGTAAATAAATGCAGAGCTAAGATAACCGAGCAGGACGGTGCAATGAATTTCTTTGTGTCGCGGTTTTCACACCTGCCTTGGCATAATAAGTAATTACTGGAATCGTTTGGTGGTACATATGCTTATTCAGCAAACTTATTTTTGTTTTCGGTTGATTTGGGATTTTATGATTGGTTAATGAGCTGGCATAAAATCCCAACTGAGACCTGAGAATACTTAGTATGTACAAAATTTTTGGTATGACGAATTTTTAAAAGGAAAATAGCGCGCATTTCAAATAACTTTAACTTGGAATTTTAAGAACAATATTTTAGCTCGTTCTTTAAGGATCGTGTTATGTGCGCGTAATTCTCTTGTATCCACTAGATTTTGCAGTAGTTAAATTAAATATAGCAGGCAAGGTTAGAAAACTAATAAATAGATATGTACAATGTATGTCTATCCTATCTAAGCTAAACAATTAAACATAACTCTGGGAGAGCTCCAACTGCTAACCCGCTGTGTTGCCATTACTGGGGCCATGCATGGGTTCATCACAGACATGCAGCCTTTAGCCATACTCATTGAGAAAGAGGTTGGTGCGAATGCCCTAAGTCTGGCGAGTCTAAGCTGCATGTAAAGGAAAGACCTCAGGAGCCGTCTGAGTGCCTTAAACCATTAAATAATGACACCTACAAGTTTATAATTCCTGAAAGGGACGCTTGCAAGGCTTCTAGGTTTGAATCCAAACTTCATAAAGGCAGCACTGGTACGGACATATTTGTACCTAACCAATAATATTGTAGTCAGATTTTTTTTAAATGTACATCTTTGCCAGATAATGTCTGGCGCCCAAGTAGCATTAAGAGCCTTAATGCCTAAATAATAAGTAGTGGCAACAGTTTAATGGACAAACTATTAACCCGTAACAGTGTTACCTTATTGTGTGTTCCAGGTCATGAGATCTTTAATGGAAGCCTAATGAGGAGCGGAGCCTAATGCGGTCTGTATGACTCCCAGCCTTTCTGTGGTCCAACCAAAGGATATATATATATATCCTTTTTTGATGCCTCACAATGACTGCTTAACCTTAGTCGAGAGGGTTTAAAAACCATCACAAGATACCTGACCGAACACTGCACGCTATTTATTGAAAATTGGGCTTTCTTATGAGATGGACTGCAGCACCTGTGTGCTGGCGGAAGAAACCTCAGAGCATATACCTACTACGTGATGCTCTATGAATATATAGCCTTTGACTTGCACACCTTGGAGAACCCTTATTTTCTCCACCCAAAATAGGGAACACGACACCTTCCAAAGCGCAGAACATTATAAATTGCCTAAAGCAGGGATCACACGATGTGTACATTTATACAGGTTTGTCCATTCTCACCGTCACAGAGTGGTATTGTTTGGAAAGCTGTTAATGGGCTGAACTCATTCTCGCTAAAAATTTCTAGACAACACCACTCTGTGATTGCTAAATGTACAAATGTACAAATCGTTTTATCCCTGCTTACAATTGGAATTACTTCTTAAGGGTTAGGGCAATTGATCTGGCTAGGTCACAGCATTGTTATACACTAAAAACAATAACATGTAGCTAAGAACTTTGGCACTAAGACCTCATTTCAAACTTTACACTATCGTAGCATTTATTTGTCCCTCACTTTTTTCTAGGTAAGTTTTCAGCTGAACAAAATTGGATGAAGCAATTTGGACGTCCTCGTTTCCAACCACAAAGTAAAAGTAATGTAAATCGAATCAAAATAAAGTAAATTGTTAGAATTATAAGCTATGAGTCTCGGCGGTGGTAAAGCGGACTCAAAATCAATAGCTTGAGAAATGTGTTTGTTAAAATTCAATGGACTAGAGCCGGTATGCTGTACGAGAGCTTCTCTAGAGCACCCGTTTCTATTCTTTACGTACTGCTGCACTCTCTATCGCTTGGCTTTGTTTTTCCACAATACTAGGCTCCGTTCAGGGGTATGCTGATATTCCGGTTTCCTTAAGGTTGAGGCGACATAGCACTGAAGATTTCTTTCCACTGTCTTCAATTCTGACTTTCAGGTTCAGTATACAGAGTTTATGTTGAGATTAACAAAGATAAGAATATGCCTTGTTTTATCGAGCAGATTTACATAAAATTTTTGAGACCATGAACTACCTGGGGTGGAAGAGCGGGTGAGATCTACATTTAACC